AACTGTACAATGAACCCAAATAGCAAACTCATTATTTCCTGGTTAGGGAACGTTTTATACGATTCTCTGTATTGTGTTGTTTCTTTAAATTTAACAATCATAAAGACTTAATATTCTTTTTACTTTTTCAATTTACTTTTTCTTCACAGAAGTGAACCAAATGCTGAGATATAGGCCTGTTATGTATATTCTTTAAGTATTCTAGCACGCCTTAAAATCAAGAAGGCCTTGCGATACTCCACAGAGCTTTGGGGACACCTAGTGGGGGTACCCAACACATATTTAATACTAGGTAATACTAAAGGTAATTCTTCAATGCAGTAATCAGAACTTCTTAAATCTGCTGCTCCATACTTCTGTCACACTGACTGAGCATGTAAAATAAACCCTCCGTTATCATTTTAGTGGAAAATAAAATCTGCTGTGAGGACACTGCAGTAGCACATTGGTTGACACCAGTTTTAACTGTCCTTTCCAAATGTTAGCATGATATGTGCATGAAGTAAAATCACATCAGTAAAATGACATAACAATATTTTATTCTACTGTTCTTATTGTACTATTTCAATCAGAGAGCGATAGCATTCATTTATATAAAAATGTAAAAATGACTCACTACATGTGTTGCTCAGAAGGTGAAAAAGTCAACCTGCTTCCTCTCACGCACACGCACACACACACACACAATGGTGTTTTTACTGTTTGGTTGTTTAAACACGCCAGTGTAAACCCAGCACAAACAATTCCTCCCAGTTAAACATTAGGGAGCAGAGTAACAGTGAAGAGCAGCAGCAGTCACTGTGAATAATCACAATATCTCTGACGACTCAGTAATGTTTGCTACAGGTCCACAGGACTGAAAGCTTGTTGTGTTTTTTGGGCTGGCTTTTCACTACTTTACTGCTGTAATTTAAACCAAGATTTAACTGCATTAATGGCCTCCGGTTCTGGCATCTATCTGAGCAGCAGCAAGAGTTTCATTTTTTTTTTTATTAAACTAATAGTGTGATTAAGTGATTTTTAATTTAACTCTGACTTTTCATACTTCTCTACTTCTCTACTACTACTTCTTATCATACTTCTCTACTTTCATAATCCCCCCAAAAATTAAGTCACTCATTCACATGAATTAAACCCAACTCATAAATTGTTGAAGAAATAACTCACTTTTGAGTGCACTTAAATGTGTGCAGTATTTTAAGTATTGGTGGTATAATTCCAGTTTGTTCAATTAACTAATTTTCCTTTAATTGACTTTATATCATTAAAAATATAAACCCCGAAGCCCCAAAATGAATTGGCTACCATTTTGATAATCAATTAATTGTGAATTGTTTTTCATCATACATCAGTTGTTTTGGCAGGTAATGTAATAATTTGCTTTAGTGGAAGAAAACTGAGTAAATTCAATAACATTGGTAACATTTGTATAAAGAAGTTGCATTAAAGACAGTCTTACTTTATTCAGATAAATAACACATTTTAAATAAGTTTGGAGAAATGCTGCATCGGTGTGTAATGTACTTTCTAGTTTTAAGTTCAATTAACTGGATGAGTCAGCATGGAAGACCCCTGGAAGTCCCTGCAAGACAATATTTTCAACTTTTGACACCCTGTAACCCATACAATGTAATTTTCATATTTATTTTGTGTACTATTCAACAAAAAAACAGTGTTCTTTTCAAATGTTGGCAGATAGTAGTTTTGAACTTCAAGCTCAGGCTCTGCTCTAGGGTCATATTTGCTTTCATTCTGACCTCTTACTACTGCAGTTTGCTTTTGTGGACACCCTCCTCATATTAGTTAAGGAGTATAGGGGTACAATTAATGTTTAAAATGATTTAAAAATATTTTTGCTGTAATACATTTTACTCTATTTTTCAAAAATGTTCTACATAAAAACAACAACATAAAAGGCATATTTCTTCACTAATAAAATATCCCAGAAACCAAATGAGACACTTTTGAATTTGAATATTTCAGTGTAATAAATATTGGCCTATATATACTTATCATTAGCTACTACCATAATGTCAAACCTGAGGCTTCAAAACGGTACTCTACAAACCATGATAGATTCACACTTGGTTGTAACATTTGTAAAATGTGTTAGCTATAAGGTAGATTACAAATATGACAGTGGTTTAAGTCTTCTCTTGAAAAAGTGAACACGCAGAGTTTCTCGAACTGCTCCTTTAATACTCTTTCATGTGTCACAGCTGAAACCAATAAAGTTAATTAAGGGTTTGCCACTCATGAAGCAATAAATACTACTGACCGTCAGTACTTCATACAAACTATATTTGTGTATTAAACAGTTCCGGCACTGATTAGTGAATTGTTCTTGCACTTACATGCATGAGATACTGTTCATTCTTCTACATTATATGCATGAATTAATGCTTTTCCTTGATTTGTATTATCTGCAGTCAGATGCCTTCAGGCAGGAGATGCTGCTGCATTTGTAGCAAGAACACATATGTGTGACAGACTCTGTCTCTCCTGAGGCCATCTGTAGGCTCAGTATTGTCTCTGTATGTTTATGTACTTGATACATTCAGCTTGTTGTCTTTTACTGCTGTGCTTGCTTATTACTAATTCATTTAGCTGTTTCTGTACTTTGCTGTTTTTGCGGTCTGCGTGCTATTTTTGGTATTAATATGGTTGGAACACAGTAAGGCCAAGTCTCACATAAATCTCCAATGGTTGCTTTATTCCAGTATTTTTTTTACAACAATAGAACAAAGTAATTCAGATTTATACCCTGTATATACATGCTCATTCTTTGAGAAAGTGTTAGCTGGAGAAAAAGAGGGAATCCTACCAAATAAATCACATATCTCATTCAATAAGAATCCTCCTTCACAATTAAAGCATGATGATTTTTTTGGCTAAGTTCTCATCACGTAACGGCTAAGCTAACCAATATCAAAATCTACCAAAACCATGAGCTTGTTTGAAACTGACTCATCCTCACAGAATCACAAATGCATTATTTGTTGATGTCACCACGTTTGTTGGCTCTGTAAATTATAAAATGCAGTTGGCCAGTTAGCTGAAGCACAAAAATGTTATTTGCAGCCCAGCTTTCCTTTTTTTTTTCCATTACTACACTTCACTCTCTGGCTTTTGTTTCTTCTTCCCATCCAATCTGTTAACCCCTTCCCTTGGAATGCCCTCTTTATGTGTGTGTGTGTGTCGTTATGTGTGTGTAGGTGTGTGTGTGTGTGTTAGAAGGGTTTGATGCGGAGTCCTGTTCCCAAAGGGGAGAAGTGGTTGACTTTTGCCCACATTAGAGCATCGTTAAGGGAGATTGCTGATTTACCGTCCTCCAGCAAAAACACTGGACCCTGCACATTTAAAAGAAGAGAATCATGAGAAAAGGCACAAGTTGTCAAGACATATCAGTGCAGATACATAAAATTCAGAAACACACACCTGTATTCTGTGTCCAGTGAAACAGGACAGTTGAACATCTGAGTGGCTCGGCAGATTGGAACCGGTCACATAATCAGCACCACACAGGACCAACGCAGCTGGGAGAGAGAAGAAACTTGTTACAGGTTAATGATTAAAAATAATATGTATTCACTATCATCACAGAATATCTGTCAAACCAACCTAAACAATAGTCCATTGTTATTCATGGGACCTAGCTCCATCTAAACCACACTCCATCCAATCAGAGAGCCAATTACACACACAGCAGCCAATCACTAATAAGCATACTCTTCATCACCCACTATGTTGAGAACAGTTATTTTTACCAGAGTCTGTTGGCTGGATTCTGCTCTCAAGGCAGCTGAACTCCTCTCTTTGACACTCTGATGGAGGACTGTTGAAACAGACAGACAGAGATACAATTAATGCACATAAGCAATATAGAGGTCACTGTTAGTGAAACTATGCCTGTGCATTTAAACATGTTGTACATAGATGTAGATCTATCTGCAACAGGTTAAAGATCCATTGTGTAACATGTATGAAGATCTATTAGAGCCTTTCATGTTTTTTTTTTCATGTTCTTCAGCCTCGCCACTCTCTGACCTTTTCTGTCTTTAAAAAACAAATACTGAACATGACATCCCATCCACTGTGATGTGACAGCCTTATTCTGGGCTACTGTAGAAATATGGTGGTCCAACATGCTGGCCTCCACATAACAGCAGCCACTTCCTCTGTAGATAAAAAAAGCTCATTCTAAGGTAACCAAAACACAATAATTCTTAT